CACACACACACACACACACACACACACACACACACACACACACACACACCTTTCCCTGTCTTGCTCGGCCTATCTTCTTCTCCATTACCCAGTGGGTATACACCTGCTCAATATCGCTACCTGGAACAACAGCATCTCTAACTCAGTGCATCTAAAAGTAGACCCCAGACCATGCCATAGCTCTGGAAGCTTGCACATTCTCACCACACCCAGTTTATATGGTCCCAGGATCCAACCCAGGGTTCCTATCTTTTGGGCCGCAAGAATATATTATAGAGATTCAGCTATGTATTAAAGCTATACTTTGACTGGCCAAGAGTCTGTCAAAAGGCAAGCCATTTATTATGACTATTTGGTGCTATTCAGCCTTTAATATCTCAGCTGCTTTCTACTATGAAATTCTTAGGTGCCCAAATATTTCCAGACCCCTCTGAACTTCTAGGTTTCTAACTCCTCCACCTCCCATGGCTCTCCAGAGCAACTGACTGAGAACAAAAGAGGTTTTTACACATCAAGGTGGAAGGTAGGGTAGAGGAACATTCCTGAGGAGGCAGAGAACTGCGTGGCCAGAGAGAGAAGACAGAGGTTTTTCTGTAGAGCAGACAGAATGACATGGTGAGAAAGAAGAGAGGAAGACGTAGAAGACGTAGAGGGTAAGCAGATCTCAGGTAGAGTTTTCTGAGAGCCAAGAGTAGAGAGTAGAGATGGAGAACAAGGAAACAGAGGACGAAGATGAGGCTGGAAGCATAAGAGCTTAGTCGTTAGCAGGACTATGAGAGGGAACCAGACGGAACTGAAGCTATGGAGACAGGATTTCATCCCAGAGAAATAAAGTAGACAGACAAAGAGCTTGGTATGTCTAGATTTATTCTTGTCCTAAATGTCTGATGGAGCTGTAGCTGTATTGATAGAATTTTGTCTTAGAGGAATAAAGTTAACAGACATAAGAGCATAGTATATGTAGATTTTTTCCCTCAGATATCCCACACCCAATGTAGCAAAATCCCCCAGACCCCTGGGTTTTCCATATTCCTGCCTGCTAGGCAACCACCCTACCAACTGAGCTCCATCCCCCGCCCCTGGAAGATGTCCTTTAAAGCCACAAAACAGGTTTGGGTTTTCTTGCTTTAGAAATGAGACCATTCTCCGAAATAGGATCTTAATGTCTTGAGCTCCTGTAGCGAAGTGCCCAGGTGACCCCTGTGTGCCTCCATGGGTGCCTCTTGCCTCTCAGCGCACCCAGGCTCACCTTGTACTTCCTCACCCAGGGAGGGCCATGCATCCCTCTCCGCCCCTTTTGTTCAGCTCCCTTATACCAAATTCCCTCTCCGTCCTCCAGGATTCCGTTCGCCCTCTGGGGAATGTGCTTGGGGGCCAAGCTCAGTTTTCCTGTGTGTGTACACTGCCCCCCTGCTATAATTACTAAGACACATATTTGTAACTTGAACAACGAAAGGGACGTTACCAACAAAGGAGGGGGTCAGGGGGAAAAGACAGAGTCATCTGAATTGATGGAAATGATGTGACACTTAAATCGGACTGACACCAGGAGCCCCGACCCTCCCACTGCCAAGGGCTTCCGTTACTCCTGACTAGCCGTGGTGGCTGTCTGGCTATAATTCCCAAAATTTCTATAA